TCTATCATACAGTGTGATCTTCTCTTCCAGTCTTAAGTAACATGTAAATACAGTAGTCATCTTCTACTACCTTCCTTTCAGAAAGGGAAGGAGCTTGATGATGTTCCTTTCAGACAGGAATGTTGAGATTTGTCATTGAAATGATGTGGTATATGTCTAGTCTTCATCAAGAAGAGATCCTGATTAATTTAGCACAAGCACAATATCATACAGCCAGTTTTTAGTACTAGACTGGTGATAAACCAACTTGTGATAGTGCTGGGTGGAACATTTGTTTCTTTTGTGCTGATAAATGCAGATTTTGCTAAGGCTGGTGGAAAAAGCAGTTTTCTAGGTAACAGAATTTGGTCTGCAGGAAATGGAGCATCTTGCCAATATTCTTCCATTCCACCTTTGTTATAACACCAAATCAGCCCTTACTGAACATTTTATTTCAGCCTAGATCTTTCTAAAATAAAAAGATGAGTAATGACTGTCTCAAAACTTTAACGCAACTTGCTGTTAAATTAAAATTATATATTGTGCTGTACCTTTGCATTCAAAAAAGTGCCTTCAGAGCTCCTTCCATTCTCTTTACATCTGTATTTGTTTCTAAATGACTGCCTTTGGTCTTCAGTGAAAGGGCTTTCTAACTTCACCGTCAGAAGAAAGCCTGAACTAGTTAAAAGCTGCTTCAGCTTTATGGCATTAGGCTCTCTAATTATGAAATATCCACAAATTACATCAGCAGAATAAGTGATAAAAATACTAGTTTTGCCAAAGAGCTTGGTCACCAATTACGTGTGCTCTTCAGTGAATTATTTATATTATTTATTACCTTCTCTTTTCAATATCGTAACAGTGTTTTCTAGAGGAGCACCAGATAGTAAAATAACTTGAAATAAAAATGTAATTACTAAAACTTTGAACTATTATGCCAAACAGTATCTGAACTGTAGCTACAGCATGAAATTTATCACTGCTCTATATCAGCTAATTGGCAGAGGCTGACATTTGAAGAAGGGAGTTAAAAACAGCAATATATTACATTACATGGGCTTTGTTTTATCTCCTCTAGAATACAAAATGTGTTCACAAAGCTCTGCTAGCCAGAATTACTAGTTAAATATGGCTGTTTTTATGGTTTTGTGGAGGTACGTCTCTTGTTGATAGTTGTTTCAAGAGAGTGAATTAATAGTTTCGTTTTGTGTAACAGACTTCATTTTTCCACTATTTTTAAGTTTTAAATGCTCTCCTCAGTTATAATAATACCGGGATGAAGGCTATATTTTTTTCTATTACAGGCTCCATGTTTCAGCCATTCAGACGAAAAGGCACAGGCATTTATTTCTGAGTAAAACTTGACCAGACAATTTCAGCAAGTGGGAATATGTTCAAAGTGTTTTACTCCTTTGTACATTTGTTAAAAATTGAAACACCTATTTATACCTCTTTTTAAAAAATAAGTCTTTCTTTGGTACATTTCTAAAGCCTTATTGGCTTTTTGTGAGTTCGTTCACTTTATTTTAATTTTAAATGAGAAATTACTAACATAAATTCCCTGTTTGGTTTTAAAAGGGAATGGTAAGGCATTGCAGGCGCTGCCCTCCCCTTGGGCTCTCACTTCTGATTATTTCAATTTTTTCATCATTTTCTCATTCTTTTAAAAACCTTCCTATCATCACTGTGTTGCTGAGTCTCTGAAGAGATGAAGTGGAGGCTGCATGGTGGGGTGTAGCAAGCAGAGTCCTCTCTGAGTTTTGCAGAGACAAGTGACAAAGGTTTTTGAGGAGTAGCCCTGTGCCCTGTTGTGTTGGAACCCATAAGAAGGGAATATGGGACCAACTCTAAGCAAGCTTTAGAGGGGAAAGATCTGGTTTCCCAAGGACTTGTCAAGTCCTGGTGCAGAAAGGTGGTGGGGGCAGGAAAGCCCAGTGAAGTCCACTCTGTATTTTTCAGTTTTCCTCAGATGAAGTTAGCTTCTTGTCTTAAATCACATCTTTCATGTTTTTATGTAATCTTCCATTTTAGTCCTCAAAATCCTCTACCGCATATTTCACTGTCATATTTTTTTTTTGCCAGAATTGCCCTGTGCTTCTTCCATAATAACATCTACATGAATAGCTGGTTTGGGCATCTTCCCACATATGGACAAGGCTTTAATCATCTGTCTACTGAGACAAAGCTCCCAACTGAAAAGTTCTCGCTTTGCAACCTGTCCTTTCATGTGAATCTGCCTGCAGAATACCAGATGTGAACTTCTAACTATGTTGACCTTTAAGCTGTCAGCGCTGAGTTTCAGAATTTGGGTGGTGACAGCTCACGCTTATCTTAGGCAGATTTCCAGGTAGCAGCTTGCTGGTGAGGACTCATTGGCCTGTCCGTGACAGTGTGGGCAGATCTGGGAGGAGAGCCTGCCTGCCTTGCTGGTGACTGCTCTTGTGCACCCCCTGTTCGGACAGGGATAGAAAGCAAGGGGACAATCAGCTGCAAGCTGACTGCGTGGTCTCCTGTGATGAAGGCTGTCTTTGGACTTCATCTCCTGAGTGTATGTAGGCAGTGGAGCCACCTTGTTCAGTAAGGTCTTTGTCCAGAAAGAGATGGCTTTCGAAGGTCTGCGGTGCTGTGTGAATCTGCATGAAGCCTGGATAAACATATACCTCAAAGACAAGTTATACAGATAATATGTATCAAAGTTTCTTAAAGAAACCCAGTGTCTGCTTTCTCATACTGCTTAGCTACAGTGTCTCTTTTATTCTATTTCAGTATTGTTTTTCTTACTCCTATTGCTTTATACATTTTGTGTAAGAATGTTTTACAGTATGGCCTTCTAGGAGATCGCAGTTTACTGTAATACACATTTTAGATAAATCAACCCTAGTACAAAGGGATACATTCTTTTTGTGAATCATACTCTAAATTTCTGTAGTAAACCATGCTTTCCATATTATCAGAGCAATAATAGTTTCAAATCCAGAAGCTACTACCCAGATTACTACCTGTAACTTTGTATTCAAATGAAGAAAAGCCTTTGAAGTCCTATAGTAGGTCTTCGATGCTTCAAGCATGTTCATCCGTCCTGTCAGATTTTGTATGCTGACTCTCACTTTTTTATCTTTCTTCTGCTGATATCTCTTGCGATGGTTCATTACCTTTGACTTGCACACCAAGCGTTTTCATCTGTTAGAACAGTCAGCGAACCAGGGAGGTTTTCTGGTTCATGCCAGTAGGAAGTCACAACCTGTGAAAAGGTTATCCCTGGCCAGTCTATCCAGTCCTGAGGTGTGTTTGCAAATGGGCTGGGGCACACACGTACTTCATCTCTTTTCAAGTAGGTTCTCATGGCTAACACGGGGAATGGTGTTTCAGTATAAACCCACGTAATCTGGGACTGTCCTGTTCCGCCATGCTTATCAGATGGTCTGGGGTCAGTACCTCTGCGCAAGGAGTGCCCAAATGCCAGCAATGTGCATCTTATGCACAGACATAAATCATAGTTGTCTTTTGTGGAAAATGCAGCTCTTTGAAAGTCCTGAGCTGTATTAATTGAAAAAAAAAATTTGTGAAATTTAATTCCTATTTTATCTCTGAGCATATGTGAACATATTTGGGTGTATTTATTTTTGCTAATGGATAAGTTTTCCAAGTAAATTGATATCACTCGAGTAGGTGATCTTTTCTTATCCCAGAGTGCTCTCAGCTGTTTTATGTGATTTCCTTCCAAGCATTCATTCACATATAAGATAATTTCTTCTCTTCTAACTAAATGTTGCAGAAATGTTGTTGTTTTAAGTCTATGGGTTAACAATTTTGTTTCTGCTGTGAGTTTTGTCTGCTCTGGGAAAGAAATAGTCTGGTTTGTGCCATGGAGTCTAAGAGTTTTTTCAAGCTGTCATGCCATTTGTGTGTATACGTGCATAAATTTGGGTAGCACAAAGAGTGAGATGCAGAAATGAGCAACCATGATAGAATACCTAGTAAGAGGCTTGAGGATAGACTAACAAGAAATTTTTAATTCAAGAAAGAGATTAAGAGCAGTAATATAACAGGTTATTCATCTGTCATCCACTGGAGGTGTTCTGAGGACTGTCTTTGAAGGCAGGAAAAAAGTTGCTGGACTAGATGAGCCACGGCTCATTGGTATAGTGCTTCCTTTATTCTTTTTTTTTTTTTTCTTGCTAGCTCAATTCACTGTGCTGGTGTCAGCCTTTGTCATGTCTGCTCAAGTGCTGGTGGAGGCATCAGTCCGGGAGGTTACTTGTTTCTCCCTGCAGCTTGATCATCCTTGGAGTAGACCATAGCAGCTGCTTAATAGCATGTACCATAATGACACCCACCAAAGCAGTTTAGCTGGGAGGTTTAGAAGAGGCTTGGCTCCCTTCCCAGCTTCTGGAAAGCATGTATCCAGCAGAAGGTAACTACTCCTGCTGGGGCAGAGCTGGTTTGCGCATAGGTGATGCCCCTGCATCCGGGTGTGTGGAAAATGATCGCTCAGTTCTTTCGTTCTCACTGTTTTGAACAAGCAGTATTTCATACGTTGTAAGTAAAACCCGGTGCGGGTTGTTTGGTTGGTGGGGGGGGGGGTTCTGTTCTGATAAGCTGACTTTGATTAGCAGTAATATATGCTTTCCTACCATGCACTGAGAAGTGAAGGTGCTGTGATTAAGAGGGTAGACTACACCACAACTCCAAGTATTTCTTTATATGCTGTGATTTAATGTATTTGAAGCTAAACCTTACTAGAAGAGCTGTTTTATCTGATGGTATTAGGTGGCTGCCATATTAGAACAACTCTTTGTCAAGCAGTGTATTTTTTTCCTCTCTTTATAGGCCTGGTCAAATCAGGCTTTGTCACCTTACTTTGAGCCTCAATAGTTCAGTATGTTTTTCTGGCATTCATTTTACCCAGGAACTGTACAACAGCAGTACCAGCTGTGCATCACTTGCATCGGGGCAGACTTGGGAAGAACTGTTCGTGCTTAGTAACATTGAATCTTTTATTTATTTTTTTTTTTTTTCAGCAGATATATGGAGTGATCATTCATTTCAGACAGACCCAGACTTACCGCCTGGCTGGAAAAAAATCAATGACATTGCTGGGATCTACTACTGGCACATACCAACAGGAACAACTCAATGGCAGCGTCCTGTGTCCATGCCAGCAGATCTCCAAGGCTCACGAAAAGGATCACTTGGTTCCATTACTCCATCTCCTACTCCAGAAACTGAGGTGACATACTGTGTTTTCTTGTGGGCTGCATCCTGTAAAGAAAACTGAACTAAGTTTTTGAACTTACAGGTTTAGCTGTTAGCTAAACGGAGCTTTAGAACGTGGAGCCTGATAATAGCCCAAAGTGTAGCTATTTGTTCATAATACGTCATAAGTACTCTTTTCGATGTGCATTTTCTTATGGCTGTGCCTCATGAAACATCCTAAATTTTGGATGGGTAGGATGAAATCAAACGTATCTCAGATAAATTAGGCAGCCAGTGCATGATGAACATGAAACTACTGCAGTTCTGTAGAACTGAAGCATTGCTGCATTATATGGATACAGAATCACAGAATGTTAGAGATTGGAAGGGACCAATCCCCCTGCAGGACCAGTAACACCTAGATCAGATCACACAGGAACGCATCCAGGCGGGCTTTGAATGTCTCCAGAGAAGGAGACTCCACAACCTCTCTGGGCAGCCACATTATAGCAATCTTTTGCCTGGACTCTTTGTTTGCATCTTCTTTCTTTTTTGGTTCACATGGTAGGAGTTTCACACAAAGACCTATGAGTCTTCATTTGAGACACTAGTTCTTTTACAGGGTAGTTTCTATTGAATATACCTGAAGTATTCTCAAGTATAAGTCTCTTAACATTTCTGCCAGTAGAAAATATCTGCACAAGTGGATCACTGTGTTGCAGTTAGTCTTTAACTGGAAACATAAAGAAATGCACTCTCTCCTCCACATGTGCTGAAAGATAAATATGTGATAGCACCTTTTAAAATAATCCTGTCAAGCACAATCCAGGGCATTGATTGGTGTCATATAAGTAGAAAAATAAATTATCAGAAAGAAACATATGCTTCAAAAAACGCAATCACTTCATTTTGTTTGCTGGGAAGACTTCTATGGAATGAAATACTAATGTAAAGTCAAATTGTTTTGAAATGAATTCTTTTTCATACGAACTTTTCAGAAGAAGGTCCACAGTTTTACGAAATCAAGGAAAGTGTACTGGCTTTGAGTTTTGACAAACCTAAGGAAATCCTTAGGTTTTATTTATTTATTTATTTATTTGTTTAAAATATATTTAGATATGACATTTCTTCTGTTCTTGATTTTGTTGATATATGCACCAAAATAACTTACGTGAAAGTTAAGAGGAGTTAGGACATTCAAGTATGTATTACAAACTTGACCCTGAAACTTTTATCCTGTATAGGCTTAAACATGTACATTCTTGTTGATTAGTTTAGAAACATTGCTTCTACATGTTCATAAATGCTACTCATAAGGTTTGCAAACTTGACCACAACATTTCAGTTATGTTTTACATCCATGAAGCTCCGGTGGAATCTACTGTGCACCAAGCATTCTGGGTTCGTAGAGAACAAACAGCAATTGTTATCATTCAGGTAGAAAACAAGAAAAAACAAAACAAAAACCAAAAACAAACAAACAAAACCCCAGAAATGCTGAATGTAAAGTGCTGCACATACTTCCAGAGTAAATTCCTGTAATGTACACATGAGGGATATAACTTCACCATTGAGTACTTATTCTAAAATACAAAGAACAGGGCTTTAATTAGTAAGTTACAGATGTCTTTCACAAAAACCCAGAAATCAGTATGGTTGGTAAATTGCAGAGGGAAATGCATATTTTAATTTCAAATATTTTTCTACCTCTGTTTAAAATGTCTTTACAATGAAAATTTCAGACCTGCTGATAACGTGGCAGATGTACTTTTAACCTTTCACAATTTTGTTTACTTTAAATAAAGAATAGTTTGTGGTTATAAATAATGGTAGTTAATTCTCAGCAGCATCATGGAGAATACAAAATGTATGAATTATAACAACATAGATTTTAATACAGCATAAATGTATTAAATAAGATATTTGAGGAGTCATTCTAAAATACCATGTATGTGAGTACGTAGTCGCCTCATCTAGGTTTTGATAGGGCAGTTCTAATTCAGCAAGGAATTTAATCCAGCACAGATTTATATATATACAGTTCTGTGGCAGCATCAAGACCATATACTGTAGTGTAAAAGATGATACAGAAAATAAGCAAGTTTCTAACATTTGTATTCGTATGTTATTATATGGTTATTTTCATTGTAGGTGTAGACAAAAGCCTGTGTCTTTTGAAGGTTTCTGCATTCATTGATAAGCATCTTACATATCATTATTGCAACAATGCTAACTTTTTGATGCAGTGGTTTTTAAGATACATTGCAGTGCAATAACAGCAGACTTACATTAATGGTGTTCAAAATGAGACTGTGAATCAGTCTTGGGACTTTGTGCACTGCCAAGTTCTGAAACTGCCACAAAGAAGGGGTGTAGCTGTACTTATAATGGTAACTGATAGGAAAAGTCTTGCATTTCTTTAAACCACAGATGTTGAGCTTTTTTAAAAGGGAACTGGAGGAAGAATCCTTTGGGATTCAGCTGGTTCTGAGCAGAACCGTGGTACAGAGCAGTAAGAGCGAAATAAACTATGGTGTGGGGTTAAGAGATAGGGGTAGGTAATGAAATAATTTGTAATCTAGATTTAACTGTGTCAGCTATTGTGCACCTTTGGGTTTTTATCTCTCTGCAGTCAATACTTGCCAGAGCCTCATCATCTCCAGGTCACTTGCAGGTGATACTGGTTTCATTCCCCTTTCACTGCACTGCAGCCTACCCCAAGTGCTCCCCCTCTCCCTCCCTGTGAAAGATTAACCTGTATGTCTATGATACACTCAGTGTGACACTTCACAAAAGAAGTAGAATTCAGTCCAGAATAGGGGCTCACAAATGCCTTTATCCTGGTGCTACCATTGACAGCAGCAGCTGTGGTGGCCAGCTTCCAGCTCCAATTTGGACCACATGTGAGCTGTGTACTGCTGGTTCCCTTGCTGCTGTTTGAAAGCCTGTGTTCTGAGATATCTGGTTTAGGAGGGCTGGTTTAACTCATTCCCACGTGCTGGAATTTATATTGCTTTCTTCTGAAAAGGTTGAGGGATATATAGGTTTTAGGCAGATGAAACAGTATGATGTAAGATTGAAGACTGGCATGGGTCACAATTTGTATCTGTCCCAATAGGCTTCCATCAGTCCATTAAAAATACTTTTGTTTTTATGACATTTGTCTGTGAAGCGTAATATGCTAGTCTTGAGATTAGTTTATTTGGGCTCTTTCAGCTTTTGAGTTTGTCAAATAACCATTTGGAAACACTTTACCCACCCCTCCAGAGTAGTGCCCTTTTACCCTTTGTCTTGTTTCTTCTTTTTGTTTTTTAATTATTTAGTGTCTTTTTGTGTCTCTGTCTCTTGAATTATGTGATATACAGAAGCTTTGCTTCATTTGGTAGAATGTGGCTCACAGCTGATGGCAGTCAACAAAGAACAGATCAAGTCAGACATTTTTATATTGTAGCTTACTCTGGATATTTAGCATAAAGAAAAGTATTTACAATTGTTGAACAGAGAATCAGAAAAAAATGGGTAGAGAAGAGAGATGCTGCAATATATACAAATTGCAAAAAGGGGTTTAAAAAGGAAAAAATGGAAAAATGTCTTTTGCACAGTCTGCAGGTCAATTTTTCTTTCACAAGATAATAAGTAAATTTCAATCCAAAGCAATTGTGGGTTAAACATTATGCAGAAATCCTGCAGATTTAACAAAGATGCTAATAAATGCTAAATATAAATAACCTGGAACATTCCTTCCCTTTCCCCCCCCCCTCAAAAGCATGAAAATATATTTTGGTTTTGCACAGCTGATTAAATTTGACTTAGTTTTAGATGTCTCTTTTCTCCTGTGTGTTGCCAAATGTCTTCCTTTGTGAATCCTCGTCTCTTGTAACATTCCCAAATTTCGAAGATTTTGCTGCCTCTTCCCCATTTTCAGTGCAGAGAAAAAGATGTAGGGTTTAATTTTCAGTAAGAGCTTCTTTCAGAAGAAATTTGGTGACGGTGGTTGTGTCGTCTTATAGCCTGGCTCATCCCCAGCCTGGATCACCTCTAGGAGTTCTTCGTAACATAGCCACTGGCCACTAATAATTAAAGAGGAGGAGCTCAGGAGGAGAAGCTAACAACTCAATGAATTCAAAGGCATGTTAGAGAAGAGTTACTCCTGGGAGTTGTTTCTCACAAATATTTCCTCCAGTAGGGATGTCCTGAGAACACTTTGAAGGTGAGAGGTCCCCGCTGCAAATAAATGCATTGGGCCGTATTAATAGGTCCCACTTCATCTTGGGGCTGAGCTGGACAACCTGGGAGAGCTCATCTTAAGAGGGGCCACTAATTACAGGAATACTTGATTTGAGGAAGCTTCAAAGAGGTGGCTCTGGGTCTCTCAGCAACCAATTCTCATGTCCCACCTGGCTCTTGTTCAGGACAGTGGCGCTTCTGTCCTTGTGGGAAGAGGAGAGGGACAGCTCCAACAGCAGCTGTTCCTCCCAGGCTTTACAGAGGAGGGTGAACCTCAGTTGCTGTAGTGCTAAATGCATTGCTACTTGCTTGATTGTACCAGTGAACGCCTCTGAAAATTTTGAGAAACTTGAATGAAAAATGAGAGAGTGGGTGGTTGCTTTGGGGATTTTTTGGTTTTGTTCTGTTTTTTAAAAAAGCTGCTAGACTTTTCAAAACTACTTTTTTCTGCAATAAATCTTTGCACTCCTTACTAATCCTCTTTCC